CTTATAAAGTATATTTACTATACCTTATAGAGTAGTGATTAAGAATACAGACCCTGGAATCAACCAGCTTGGGTTAAACCTCAGCTCTGCTGCGGGTTTAACCTCTCTGGCCTTGGTTTTCTCATCTATAAAATGGGAATAATCTCCATACTTCTTCGCCACTATACAGTGCATCCATGTAACCAAAAACTATTTGTACCCCTAAAGCTATTAAAACAGAGAAAAAGAACAAATAAATAAAATAAAATGAGAATAATCATAGAATCTCCTCACTGAGAGAATTAAATGGGTTAAAACATATAAAGAGGACAGGTGAGGTGGCTCAAGCCTGTAATCCTAATCCCAGCACTTTGGGAGGCCCAGGCTAGAGGATTGTCTAAGCCTGTGGATTCGAGACCATCCTGGGCAATATGATGAGACCTCGTCTCTACAATAAATTTTTTTTAAAAATTAGCCAGGCATGGTAGCACGTGCCTGTAGTTCCAGCTACTTTGAAGGCTGAGGTGGAAGGATCGTTGGAGCCCAGCAGGTCAACGCTGGGGTGGCCATGAGCGTGCCACCACACTCCAGCCTGGGCGACGGAGTGAGACTGACTCCAAAAAAACCAAAAAACAAACAAAAAAACCACACACATATAAAGAGCTTAGAACAGTGCCTGGCACATGATAAGCACTATATAAATGTTATTACTAATATATTTTTTCTTTGAAATTGGGTACATAGAATTGAATTAGTCATAATTCTTAGTTCATGAGACACAATCATCAGTGGTCCATATATGAGTCTTAGCTTTTCATTATTTGTTAATAACATAGTGAATACCCATGAGCCCAGCACTCAATCAAGAAATAGAAAATGACTAATAATTGTTATCTACCTAAATGCTACTCCCTATCTTCCCCAATGCCTACCCTCATAGTATTTAGCTATCCTTGCTTTTAAAAAGAATTTTAAAAGGAATTTAAAGGAATTCATATACGTGTATGCATGTTTGCACACATGTGTACACATGTACCTTATAAGTACATCCTTTTTTTTGCTCATCTTTGAACTTTATATAAACTTATACTTGAACAACATGTGTACTTTTCTGAGGTTTGCATTTTTCATTCATGTTTTACTATGATTCTTCCATGTTATCATATATAGTAGCTATAGTAAATTTCCACTGCTATAAAATATTCCATCATATTGAATATGCCACCATTTACATATCCATTCTTCTTTCGATGGGCATATGAATAATTTTCACTTTTGTGCTACTATGATTATTATTTCTGTGTCCTGAGACACACATGCAAGGATTTATCTGGCATAGGTTCGGGAAGTGGAGGGTGAAGGATACCCAAGAGTGAAATTACTGGGTTAAAGGCTAGATTAAAGCCAGGTGCAGTGGCACATGCCCACCTACTTGAGATGCTGAAGGATCCCTTGAGACCAGGAGTTTGACAATACACTGAGCAACATAGTAAGACCCTGTCTCTAAAGAAGAAGAAGGAGATAATGAACGTTCAATTTCACAAGATAATGTCAAATTGTTTTCTAAAGTGGTTTTGAAGAATTTGTAATCTCACCAACAATGTGTAAGATCTTTATTGATCCATGTCTCTGGCATTTTATAACTTTTTTGAACTAAACGGGTATAAAAGAGTATCTCTCTGTGGTTTTGATATTTTATTTCCCAAATTACTAATGAGGTTGCATATCTCTATAAGTTTAGTGGCCATACACATTTCTTCATCTATGAAATATATATATTCATGTCTTTTGTTCACCTATTGAGTTATATCTTTCTTTCTTTTATTTTTTTTTGAGAAAGCAGGTTTTATTGAAAGGACAGAAAAGCCCCCACAGTTTGAGGGGACCCGAAAGGGTTGTCCGGGTTATATCTTTCTTAATGGAGTTTTTCATATATCTTGCTTCTAATCCCTGGTAGCGTAAATGTATGGCAAATATCCTTCTCTAGTTGTGGCTTACCTTTTCACTTAATTTCAGCTGATTTTTAATAAACAGAAGTTCTTACTTTAAATAAGATTGAATTTACCAACCTTTTATAGTTAGCATTTTTTGTATCTTGTCTAAGAAATCCTCATCACGTCTCCCAATCCTGCCACCGGTTCTTGCCTATAGTAAAGTTTAGCTCTTCCTTTTTTTTTTTTTTTTTTTTTTGAGTTGGAGTCTCACTCTGTGGCCCCGACTGGAGTGCAGTGG